TTACAATGTGAAGGCTTTAACAGAGAAGTTCTATGCACGTCATGACACTCTCAACGAAGATCCAAAAATTGTGCTAAGTTACAAACATTACTGCGAGGAAATAGAAAAGCGGCAGAAGTATACGCCACGCACCTTTTATCTCACGCCGCGGACAGAAAATCAAGTTTACGGTTGGTTACACCATTTGGCATTCAAATACGAACCCGGCTACGAACAGATGCTTTTTCATCGTGCTCGACAATCGGATCCAGATATTAAAATACAAAATGCAATAAATTTGGCAGTTTTGCGTGGCCTGAGGCGTTAGTGATAGATAGCTACATATGTACATATATATGTATGCAAATATGTATATACGATGTGTGTATGTATAACTACATTTATGTGAGCGTGGAATACAATTTTATGTATGTATATATTGGATAGTAAAGAATAGAAATCCGTTATGGATTAGTAGCAACTGGATTCAAAATTATGCATATAATACATAATAGTAAATAAACATAATTGAATCGAAATCTTGCAATAAGAATACTTTGTTTTCATTAATGAATTTTGGTGCTTAGTAAAACCCGATTTTAGAATAATCTGAACCGAGCGTCTCTTCAACCTATATAAATTTGTACTTCGTGGAAATTGAAAGTTTGCTGGAATTTGAAGTAAGAAACTTCTACTTTCTACTCAAAATAATGAATAATATTGCTCATTTAGGTAGTCCCGATAACTTAATTTTTTTATATAGGACGAATAATAATCTATCAGCAAAATCTCAATATATTTGGTCCAACGTTACTGGAACTTCTTCTTCAGTAGTAATGCCAGCAAGTTGGCAATAGCGACGGCGAAGGTATAAATTCAAGAAGATCATATGTATTCAAGTTATTATCCGGGCCTACCACCACATGATTAATATTTGCTCCTGTCCACGGTTAAAAATTAGCCTCAAGAGCAGCTTGCGAGAATCGAAAGCCCATTTTTTTTTTTTTGTCAATAGGGACGGGGGTTTCTATTAGAGTGGCATTAGGAAATCTCCAAGTTACCAAAGTTATCACTAACATTTGACGTAAAACAGAATATTTGAACACCATATATAATGCTGTTTTCGAGCTCTCGAACCTGGCTGGTTGATTGCCGTAAAGCCTGGATTTAACATATCCCCATCCAAAATAATCTGAGGCGTTAAATCGCATGCTCTTTTCGGCTAATTTACTGAACAATTTCTCGAAATTAACGTTTCGCTAAAATTTGTACGTCATGTTTAGACATGAAACAGGAGTCGGTGCACAGTTTTGTTGCAAATGGAGAACGACCGCATCGATTTTACCGAATTCCGCAGGAAAAAGCACCGTGTTACAATGCTCGCTATTGATAGTAATGGTGTTTTTTCCTCATTTCGAGAGAAATAATGTCCTGATAATGCCGCCATACCAATACCGAACAAATATTTTAATCCCTCCGATGGATAATATGAGGTTTGTTTAAAATGTATCCCGAGTTTTGTATTTCTTAATATTTATTTATAAATGCTTTCTATTTTGTCGCCTTTAAAGTAATCACCCCAAACATACTGCAATTCTGCCAGAGTCTTTTTCCAATCTTTTCTTTTTTTTTTTTATCTTGTTAAGTTTCTTCTTCGATGCAGTTTTAAGCTTCTCAAACGGCACGTATCGTCAACCTGTCACAGACCTCTTCAGTTTTGGAAATATTTGCACACAAGCAACGATACGTCAGCGTTATCATAGTTTTCACAAATCACAATTCCGGACGCTTCAGACGGATGGCGCATAACTTCCGGGTAATATTCTTTGTTGACCATATGACCCTTTTGTAAGATGCTATGATACGCGACATCTTGGACTCGAAGAAAATTGTTAGAAAAACCTTCACATTCGGCTCTTGTTTGGCTGTTTTCCATCTTGGTTCATGCTGGAACTTCCATTGGGATGATTGAGGATTGATTTTCACGTCATAACCATAAACGCTTGATTCGTCAATTCGCAATTTTGGCACAAAAATCGAAATAGAACCATAATGTGTACAAGCAAAAGAGCTGTCAAAAAAGTAAACATTCACAATAGCCGAACTTGTCAGCATAACAAAAGGATATGAGTGCCAACATAACGCAATAAAAACATCGATACGTGTAGCCAGCGAAAATTCAAAATTTGCCATACTTCTTTTTATAAACTTTGTAATCTTGCACAATAACCAAGCGTTGTACCAAAGTCACACTTGACATGATGCTGATGGCACTAAAATTATGCAAATCCGCCAACAGACATGATAGCCGCGAGCTATCAAAATCCTTGTTGGTAGACGCTATATAAATTATCAACGTGATCCGAGTTGAATTAATCCCTCACCTTTAAAGATATTTATCTGGAATTTGGCAGACGCCGTTTTTGACAAAGAAGCTACTCATGCCTGAACGATCAGTTCTTGTATGGAAAAGCCTTTCATTGTGAATTGTTATCGTTTTTTATTTTATTTTATTTGTTATTTGTTTTTGTATTTTATTCAGGTTTTCTTAGAACTTGTATTGTTACTTAAATGACAAAAACTATCTCTCCTCTATTGTAGACTATTATCAATTAGTTATCGGAACAGACACTTCTCATATCCATGCCTCTGGCTATAATAAAATGTTGTATTAAAGAATGCAGGTCTGTAACTTCATCTATTAATGAATCCTGTCCTAATATCGTGATTCTTTACCTCTTTTTATAGCCAATCTCTTCCAATATACACCAGGTAAAAGTACACCTTTTAAGCGAGATTGCGCTATAACCAACACATAAATATGAGAAATATTATTAAATGAAATGCCACTTGCAAACCGAGTTGTACAAAGGATTGAAGGTCTGTTAAATTTTCATTACGCGCTGCAGTAAAAATACTTTTATTTCACACATAAACTCGCGCCTCTACACCCATGCAACTTTGTGCTAGCCATCGATGGCAATGACTTTTCCCACACTTCAACTTTTTTCGAAATAATTCAATTTGTACAACCATAAGACCGATGAATTATTGCCACTGCAGTGCATATTCGTCAATTTCATAATAATACAACGGATTAATATTGAAAATTACTGAATATGCGACTACAAGCCAAACAAATATAAATATTGTGGAGTGTATACCCTGTAGGAAAATCGAAACCAGAATCCAAAACAGCGTTTCAAATATTGGATTCCGATTACAAATACATATGTGTACAAACTGTTGAGGCGAGTGAATCAGTAAAACCGTTATGTGCATACAAATGCACATATTAATAGCACAAACCATATTTTTTTCTCAATAATATTGTTTTGTTGCACTTTGATCCATTTTGCTGGCAGCATTCACCGCAATATCCGACGTGGAACAATCAGGTAAATTTCATTACAACACAAAAATCGCTTTTCGTTTCAGCTTTATTGGTTATTAATCCAACAATCAATGCTGTCTGCTGTTTTTGTTGTAACTGTTACTGTTTGTTGTTGTTGTGCAGGTGCCACTGACAGGCGTGTTGCATTCAAATCGCTGAAACTCTCTGCATTTGCATTGCGAGTCTTTTTCCTAGAATATTTCCCTTCAATTGTTGACTCGTGTTTTTGCTGGGTATTGGTATGTATTTATGTGTATGTAGGTACGTGTGTCTGCGCACTTTTAAAATAATTTGCATGAGTTGGTATTTTGGACTGCTGCAAATTTGCCGATGCTATTTGATTTTCTTACATTTTTCAATTGAAAAAAGAAAACACGTTCACATCGCCTCCAAAATTATAATACGCTTCATCGATGTAATTCTTATATCATTAAGGCTATATCATCTATAAGGGTACGACCTGATCATTTTTTTCGGAAATTATAGCGTTGTCTTGGAAGATCGCTTTTGCTAAATTTAAATTTGCTAGCTTCTCAGGGAGATAAGAAATATGTAAAATTTCAGATCGATATTTCAAAAACTGAACGATTAGTTTATGGAACGATGAACAGATGGACATGATTAAATCGACTCAGCACGCCTCGCTGATCATTTATATAAGGTGCGTTCCACAGTTAACAAGACCTGAAAAAAAACAGAACAAATGGGTTTTTCGGCAAAATCAATTCATTTCATTCAAAATAGTCTCTTTCTGCTTCAATATAGCATCCAAAGGCATGTCGAGCGAGTGTTTTAGCTCGTAGGCCGGTATAGCCGCCAATATGCCGGGCAAGTCTTTTGAATGGCCTATACGTCTGCATACCCTTTCCTTTCAGGGGCAAATACATTTTTCCGAAAAGAAAGTAGTCGCACGGTGCCATATCAGATGAATACGGGAAGTAGTTAATGGTTAAAATATGATTTTTGATCAAATAATCGGCCACAAGTCGGTCGGATGTTGGATTTCGAGTAATTTTTGGTTGTTAGTCAATTTGTGCGGAACAAACCATGCACACACCTATATTAAACAGAAATGTTCGGTCATTGCGATAAGTCGATGTTTTGGAGATGTTCAATTCTATTTTCATGAATTTCAATGATGATTTCGGCTGACTTTTGATGAATTTACGCACTTCCGGTGATCACGGATTTTGATTGGCCCACATGTTGATTGTCATTTATGTCCTTACGCCCACTGTGAAAACCACTCGTACACTCTGCTACGGGATAGGAAATCATCGCCATAAACTTGTTTTATCAATTGAAATGTTTTAGGAAAAGTTTTACCAGTTAAAAAAAAAAACATTTAATGTTGGCTCTTTGTTCGAAGCACATTTTCGCACTGATAGCACAAATATACTGACATTTAAAACGCAATAACTTCACTTCCAATCGGTGAAATGTCATGAAATTCCCGCTGGACAATCGATAAAGATATATAGATGGCGCCACCAGGGAGCGCTAGATTCAAAAAGTCCTGTTTACTTTGGAAAGCTCCTTGTATTATATGGTTAAATTTTTAAATATATTTATACATTTATTTATTTCATTTATTAATAAATAATTGATAATTAATTATTACACTCACATGCATTTATCTACCTCGTAACCGCGAAATCGAAATGAAAGACTCCTGCCGTCACTTTGGGGTCGCTTACTGCGACAGTTGCCCACCTGTCAAATAGTTTGTACGTTTTTATTTAATGAAAAATCAATTTTGTATGGCTAGAGGAATAATTTCTATCAATTCGTATCTCATATTTATATTTAAAAAAACTAAAATATTTTCTCGCATTTTTATTAATAATAAAATGTTAAAATGAACGTTTAATCGCGAGATATTAGTTATAGTCCTAATTAAAATTAATTTGGTGATAATTAACTGGTAAATTAAAAAAAGTGGAGAGCAAATCACAGGTAGTGTTGTGTAGAATTGATTCCAGCTGTTTTAGCGATATCTCGTCAAAGCAAACTTGATAACAACACGTTTACTGTATTAGAATATAGTGCTTTCCGAATATAACATTCGAAAATGAAAAATACAATACAATAAAACATCACTAGTCAATATCCAAAGTTGGATCAAATAGGTCTACATATAAGTATGCCCCTCCCCATATTTTGAATACTTATTGGTACTTATGATTATGCATACGCAAAATTATAAACGCGCTTTTCTCGAAACTGTCTTTATCAAAAAGATAAACACGATTTTTCCGATTTTATTGACTGATCTTTTGCAGTATTCTTGTAATGTTAATAAATAACTATTAAAACATGGATGGTAAAACAAGTAAGTAAGCTTTAAGTTCGGGTGTAACCAACTGTTTTATACTCCTGTAATTTGCCAAGATCAAAGGCAATGAAATACCTTCATGCACATAAAGTTTATAACTTATATTGCGCCTAGAGCAAATTTTCACCAAATTTGATCTGTTTTAGACATAAAGATACACTCTTATTAGAAATATACGCTAACTCAATTTTATTATAAAAACTCAGACACATGCCGATATATCTATAATATATCTCATAGATTTACTAATATTTTCGATAAAAAGTTCATTACTGGAACTTTGATCCACATATTTGGAGTCTGGGATACTATTGCACACCAAGTATAACATATCATCTATATTGAAGCCATATATAATCACCCAAAATGTAAATTGAACACACTGTTTCATTAAAATGGCGCTAAACGATAGTCATGTGGTTTCTCCGACGCCAACAATGTTGAGGATGTTTCAAATTCAACTCCACGTCTATCACTAATAACAATGATCGAGGACAGCATCATAGAATATCGGATATTTGACTGAAGTTTCGAGCATCAAACCTGAAACAGCAGAATTAACTAAGCAAATGCATGAATTTTCAGTAACAAAACGGTCTCGATCTCTGGTGGTATCACAGTAAATTTGGTGCGAAAGCAACAAAATGCCGAGAGCCGTACAATTTTGTTCTATTGAAGGAACTTTTATTGAGCCGCTCGGCTGGCACGGTAGTAGTTTTTGTCCCATTGGAAAATTTTTGATAATAAAGTGGCCAACCTCAAGCGCTCTATTCGAGCAAATTTGTATCCTAATAGATTCATTGCTGCTCGACTTTCAATATGAAAGAATCTGATTAAATTTAAAATTCGGTAGGCGTGGACATGGAAATGTCAGGGCAACATTGTATACCAAATTTGTTTGATATCGATCCAGTAGGTCCTTATATATGACTTTTCATCGAAATGTAGGTGGTATATTGTACTTTAACTGGTTTAGGTAATATGTATAGTTTAAGCCTCTTAGAGAACGAGTCAGCCACCATTTTGTTGGCTTTTTAGACAAAAGGTGCCTCTTTCTACTGTGATTCTCAGTGCCAAATTAAGGTTTTATATCTTCGCTTAGTGCTTAGTTATGATACTTTATACGTTTTCGGTTAATAGCGTTTTGTGGGCGTAATAGTTGTCCGATTCCGCCCATCTACGAACTTGTCCTCACATTTTTGCGAAGGAATACACTTACCAAGCTTCAATCAGATATCATAATTTTTAACCTAGATGCAGACACAGACGCACAGACGAACACCCATTCGATTGTCAACTCCTCTCATCACCCTAATCATTTATATATACCAAACCAAAGAACCGTTAGGTGAATAAACTATAATCCTCTTTAGTAATATGCTGAAAGAGAATAAAAAAAAGTAAAAAGTCGCCTTTCTCAAGTTAGAGGATTGATTTGTCAAGTCATGGGTAAATGTACCATTATGTTCATAATGCTCTACTTTCAATAAACAGGTTATAGGGTCAATCAAATTTCTTATCTTTGTATACAATATTCAATTTCATTCTTCTAGCTTTTATAAGCAATGTAAAACAAAAGCGTTTAGTTTGTGATACATATGTTTATAGGTTATGGTTGTTTTAAAAGGTTTAAATTAATGCCTTACGTAATTTCCTTGAATTTCAGTCTGCTTCAAACATAAACAATTTCAGACATGGTTAATACAAACAATAATGATAAAGCAATTCAAAAGTTGATCACACACCATTTGTGATCAACTTTTATTGAATGAATTCACATTATAACTTTATTACAACAACCGAGCGGACAATACGCTATTCAAGCCAACGTGAAGCGGCAAAAACATTAATCAACTTGAATACAACAGAGCGAAATAGTCCGTGTGGATATGCGGGCACCTGTATTAAATGATATTGCCAAACATACAAATTACAAAATTAAAATATCATCATCGCTAATCGTATTGTCATTATCACAATAGCCATTCGTTGCTTTTGTAATTACTGGCACACTCAGTGCTGCTAACCACGCTAAAAGGCGTATATTTCACTTCTGGTTATTATGTAATTTGCAATTAAAATGTTTGACTGGTAATTGATGATTTCACACTTGCAAAAAAAGTTTGTCAGGCAGTGTGTACCTCGAGGTGCGTTCGTTAAAATTTTACAAGATTTGTCTGTCTATTTAAAAGCTTACCAGCTCTTTTCAAAGGGATTTCCTTACACAAGTGTGAACATTTCCTGGTTAAGCTAGTTCATGCGTATTTCAAGTAAATGAGTATTATCTACTTTAAATGGTTATTTCTTACCTAGTGTGTTTACATGTTTGAGCGCTCAATAGGTATTTACAGGTCTTTTCATACAAATTTTTATATAATCTTAATTTCTAACATTTTTGGTATGTCACATTATGTTCAGCTTAAAATTATATATACACAAAATATTATTGAGTTCGACTACTTCTCCTCCTAAAATAGTACATTTCGTGGAATAGTTTTCATTATTTAATACCGA